TTATATAATAAATAATAAATAAAAATATATTATATAATATTATTATATATTATAAATGTATATATAAATACATACCTTATTTAATACATAGGGTAGCATTTTATATATATAAATAGATAAATAAATAAATTTATAATTGTCATATTATTAATTTTTTATTGCTTTCTTTATATTAAGTAGTAAAAAATTATAACAATAGTTATAACTCATAATTTTATTATTGAAGATAAACATGAAACCTAACATAAATAATAATTTGATTCATAATAATATAATTTCATATAAAAGAAAATGAATTCTCTATTAATTAATAATTGTATGTAATAATTATATAATAAATAATAAATAAATAAATATTATGATTATATTATTATATATTAAATACATATTAAATATATATAAAATGCTACCCTATTTAATGCATAGGGTAGCTTTATATATATATATATATATAGATTTGTGAGAAATTTAATTATTGTGATCATTTGTGTGTGGATTTAAAACATCTTGTGAGTATAATGTGGAGTCGGTTAGTGTAGACCCGATCTTACTAGGTCCTTTATAGAAGGGATTACTATTAGGGTTCTACTATAAATTAAAGATTAGGTTGCTCTTCACATTAGTTGTTCAGTATCTACCCATTAAGAATTGTTATTCATGTGGTGCAAGAACTGGAAGATCTTAGTAAATTTATAGAGTATCTAGTCATATTAGGTACACAATTTATTTAATTTGTTATATCTTTGTATTATAAATTCACCATATGTCAATCCTTAACTCTAACATGAGAATCTTACTCCATAATTATTACTCTCTTTTTCAAAAATAACTGGCTTTTTTTGCATAAAAATATTAGGATTCTTTTTAAAAAATAAAAATAAAAATTTACTTTGAAACAAAATTTAAATAAAAATGATACAACTTAAGGTTTTGTTTTAATCATGGTTATTAAAATCGGGATTTTTTACTCATAAAATCATCCAATTTTATATTTTTAAGAATTCAAATCAAGTTAAATCCAAATCTCATAAATTTAGGGTAAAATTGTGGTAAAGTCAGCTTGACTTGACTATTTACAAGCTTAATCATGAGAAATATAGTTATGAACTCATAAATTTAGTTGTATATATTTATTATCATGAATTTATTTGTATATATTTGTTATCCGCATTTGTTCAATCTCAATTCAAAAAAGAAAAAGAAAAGAAAAAAAAACTTCTACAATAAAAGATATTATGGATCTTCACCTTAAGAGTATGTTTGGTTTGAAAGATTGGTTTGAAAGTAACATATCCATACTGTACATCTCTGTACCTACTATACAGTTCACTTACAGCGTGTGAAAGCTAATTATGTAGGGATAATGATGCAACTGTTTACTCACTCCCGTTCATATTCTACAGTTGATTTCATTTGATTTTTCGACGTCTACTCCTACCAACATCTCATTTCTCTTTTTCTCTTTAAGCCAATCAATTGAGTCCTCCTCCTCTTATCATTTTCATTCTCTCAGACAACTGCTTGAATCTCTTTTTTACAATTCTTCAACTTCTCCAAGCCATTTTATTTCCACATCTTCTTCTCGCTTCTCTCATTGTCTTTTTCCTTGCAAACTTTGTATGTGCATCCTCATTATTTAATAACGAATGTATATTGTCTTCCATGTAACTTAGTTTCTTCAGTTTCTTTCGTACTTTTTTCAAATGATGACAACTTTGGCTCCTCAACTTTAGGGTTGTTTATAGTTTTCACCCCTTAATTTTTTTTTATCAATTAATCTATTAAGTTTATCAGTATATATATATATTTTTAATCGCTAAATTTTTAAGTTAAGGAATGAAAAATGTTCATGTATTACAATTAAGTTGAAGGATTAAAAATGTGTAATATTTAAAGAGTTTTAACAAAATAACTGACAAAAGAATTAAAAATTGCATTTTCATAGTTGATAGACTAAAAGAGTGCAGGAAAAAGTTAAAGGATGAAACTGTATAAAACCCTAAAATTAAGGAACTAAAATTGATATTTAACCTTATGCATAATACTAAAAAGAAAAAATTCATTTAACACGTCTGATTCCCGCTGGTAGTCGGTTAATTTAGCATTGTTGACTTACTATTAACCACGTGAACACCGTTGCAGCCCGTCATTATTTCCTTCATAGCTAAAAGTTTTTAAGGACATGATCATTTTACCGTCACACCATTTAATTGTTTTTTATTATTTAAGAATTAATTCATAACATTATATATTTTTATTTATTTAATTTTATGTCATAATAATAAATTTATAATTTTATGTACCATTGTAAGTATAGTTTTGTTCTAATATTGTATTCATTTGGAAAATTATTTTGTCTGAATTTTGGTAAATAATAGCTTTTTTTTTGCTATAATAGTGTTTTCACTTTCTCAAGTCTTTTTAATCACCTATTATTTTGAAACTTGGAACTTGAAGGGTAAAATAAAACAGCTATTGTACGATGTTTAACATTTTTTTTTTTAAAGAAAAAAAGGCTGCTAAGAATTTGAAATGCTATTAATGATTTTATGTGCCACAAAATTCAAGATAAAAAAGTTAAATACAGAATCTTAATTCATCCTTTAACCATTAGTCTTTATTTATCTCTTGGTAACATTTAATTACATATTGACAAGGGAAAATGATTGGTATATTTTGTAAAGTTATACATTCCATTATACATTAATAGGTTTTGTTATTTGTGTCATTAAAGTTGACGGTTTTCATTAGTTGTACTATTAAAATGAATAGTTTTTGTTATTTATGCCATTAAAACTAATGATTTTCGTCAATGTATAACGAAAGTGTATCATTGTGCAGACTATATGTATCTTATTCACAAGTACTAAAACAAATATGATTACATCACGTATGTGTCCGATGGAATACTGGAGTGCAAGTCATATGTAAGGATGGTAATTTTCCTCGATCCTCACGAGGATCCCCATTACAGGGACGGGACGGGACGGGGAGGAATATTCCTCCTCGCAGGGCAAGGATAGAGAGTATTTTCCTCTCGTGAAATTTCGCAAGGAATTTTCTTCGTCCCATGGAGCCCCGCAGGGATCCTCGTCCCGCAAAAATTAAAACAAATATAAATTAATTTTATTTTAAATTTAATTTACCTTTCAAACCCAAACCCAAATCCAAACCCAAACCCAAATCCAAACCCAAGTTCAAACCCAATTCAATCAAAATTAAACTTAACCCAATTTTACCCAACCCAACCCAATCCATAAAAATTAACCAAACCCATTCCCCTACTTACATTTAATATTAACCCTAATTCATTTCTCAATTTTCATTTTCACCTTCCCTGACTTTCCCTCTCCTTTTATGTTTGGAACAAATTTGTTAATTGTTGGTTTAGTTATTTATGTTGAATTGATTTTTATTTATATTTGATTTTATATTTAAAAATTTTAGTTAATTGTATTTGAATTTTATTTATTATAATTGAATATTAATTAATTATATGTAAAAAACAAAAAATTTATAATTTAATATTAATTAGTAAGGAATGGGGATTCCCGCGGAAAACAGGAACGAGAGGCAAAATTTGCCCTCTGTAAAAAATTTCTACGGAGATTCCCATCTACACCAATGATGGGGATGCGAACGGAGAGGGACTCCCTAATCCTGCGGAGCCCCGTTGACATTCCTAGTCATATGCCAATGCACTAATTTAATCTTCAAACTGAAGTTTAAGTAGTGTACGGAAAATGCCTAATTAGTACTGTTTTGTTTAAGAAAAATGACGACTGGGTACGTAAGTCTACAACTAAAGTTCAACTGCATATATATATATATATATATGAAAAATGGTTTAGAAATAATTTTCTTGTATTATTTTTTTTGTTTAATTTTACATGTTATTTAAATTATTGATTTTTTTTATTAACTTAAAATCTATGATGTTAAATACATCTATTTATTTAATGATATATAAAAATTGTATAAAAAATTTGTCCCTATATTATTGCACTATACACACACGCAACAATTTGTAGGAACGTTGCAACCACGTGAGTTTTTTCTCTAACCAACCATTTGATGAAAGCTGTGGGCTGCATATGGTAAGGCCACCACCAACATCAAAATTGCGAAAAGAAGACTTTAAAGGTATATTGAAAAGTGAAATTAACAAAAAAATTGTATTATTATTTTTTTAAATATGACTAGTAAAATGATACATTAAAATTACTTTAACAAGTGCACTAATTACTTCAAATAATATAATGATAAGCAGAGTGTCAAATCCATAAAAATTGTGATTAATTAAGTATAAAAAATAATTAATCCTATATAGATTTACTTGAACAATGCAAATAAAAGAAATTTTGATTAAAAATAACTAAAAGAAAATAACAATTAAAATAAAAATAACTAAGATATGAGATACTAAGGTATTCGATTTAACTATAATTAATCAATATAAATTCTAAACTAATATGCTTTTAAGATATTACTATGAATGTGATTGCAAGATATCTTGCGAGGTATCTTATCTTATTCAATGTATTTTTTCAAGTTATACTAAACCTATCATTACTTATTAACCCATTATATCTCTATATAAATTTAAATAGATAAACATATATTATGTTTGATAAAATTCCTTAGTTTATGAAAAAAATTAAGTTAACTTATCATTAATATTATACAAATTATGTTGGTCCATATCTAATTTTCGTTCATTTCATGGTATATATTATTAAAACTATTACATAAAGGCTCTTATTGCTTTCAATTATGCTTTCTATATCAATTTTAATAAGAACACTGATTGGTGCACACCCGGATCCCACACCCGGG